GTCTTGTGTGTTTCCCTGCCACAGGCTCTTGGTCAGGGCCACTCTCTCATGCTCAGTTAGGTCTGGACATTGCTGCTGGTCCTGCAGCAAAAAGGGGGAAATGGCCCATTTGGTGTAAACTTGAGAACAGAACAATCCTGTCCCAGGCCATCCAGGACAGACAGGGGTTAGTGCCCAGAATCAGTTCATTTCCCCAAAGAGCAGCACCCCACATGTGTATCTCTTGTATCTCCTGTATTCCAGCAGCACAGGGGCCAGCAGGGTGTGCCCCTCCCTGATCCCACACCTGCCCCACCTGGAGCTAAGCTGGAAACCAGGACTCACAGCTCAGAGGACACCTCCCTCCCACCTCTCATGCTCAAGTTCCTTAACACATCACATAGAACACAGTAAATCTTCCTCAGTGCCGCACTGTGCAGGCCTGCGGTGCCCATGGGAATCCAAAGAAGAGAAACAGACACCTCCGTCTAAGTCAGAGCTTTAAACTGTGAAGGTGGGGAAGAGGAGAGGGGGGGTGGAGTTCCATTAACAGGAAGCCTTGAGTGACAGGAGGGGTAGAGAAGCACTCTGAGGACTGACAGTGAGGACCTGTCACAGGTGTGTCACAAGTGTGAGCCAGAAGAGGGTGGTGGCTACAGATGTCAGAAGAAGGGATACAGGGTAGATGTGGGGACACCTCTCAGCTGAGGTAACACCTCATGTCAACACCTAGTTCATGAACAACAGACCTCAGGGCATGAGGGCAGCAGTGAGAGAGGAGGCTTTAGGATCAAGAGCAGCCCCAACTCAAAAGCCTTGGAGTTGATGGGGGCTTTCTCTAGTTTACTAAGAGGGAACGACTGGGGAAGTTTCTGCAAATTGAGACCAGGATCCCAATACTGAGCCACAATCTCTTATCTGAATTACAGATGCAGAGAATTCACAAACCTGACTGTTTTAAAATCAGATGACAAATGTGACCCTGGGGGAAAGGTGAGCGTGTATTTTCATGCGCTGGTGGGTCAGTCAGTCACATTAGCTTCTCTAGTCTCAATAGAGGAAGCCACATATGATGTCTCTTTTCGTCTTCACATTTAATCTAACGCAGAAAATGTACAAGAGGTTTGTGAAAAGCAACTGAAATAAACGCAAGCACCAGACATTATCAATCTCACAAACGCTCTGAAGGATGAAGAAGTTTGGTGCGTTTTGTGAGAAATATTTGCATCAGTCACCACTGTGGCTCATGACTTTAAAAGAGAGATCACTGAGACCTTCAGAGACGGAATCACTCATCCCTAAGTTGTATTGTCTGATACAACACAGACAATAGTGAGGAGAATGGGTTTGATTTTTATAAAATACAGAATGGAAGAAAAAGGACAGGTTGGAAGCATTAAGAATGGTCCATATGACAGACGATGATGCGAGGGCAGGAGCCTGGCCTGTGGGAGGTGTCAATGAGGTCATAGGCAGTCTGGAAGCTTCTGAGTGCCCTTTGATAACAGAGGTGATAACAGCTTACAGAGAGGAAGCACACAGTGGGGCAGCAGGACCCTAATGCTTTACACATCATCCCTCACAATCCTCAGACAGCTCAATGAAAAAGATCATTTCTCCCGAATTTTACATTTCAACCAAAGCAGACAGGGTTCAGAGGGCTTGCCCACATTCCCAACTTTCTGGGGTCACAGAATAAGTTTTTAATTATTTATTTTCATTGATATGTATTGGCGTTTTGCTTACATGTGTATCTGTGTGAAGATGTTGGAACAACTGACACTGGAGTTCAGACAGTTTGTGGTTGCTGGGAATTGAACCCAGGTTCTCTGAAAGCACAGCCGGTGCCCTTAGCTACTGAGCCATCTCTCCAGCCCAGGGTCACAGCTTTCCGCAGTGCTAATAACCCCATCTTTTACCCCCAATGTGCATAGCACAGACTTTGATTTTCTGTGTGTGATGTATGTGTGTGTTATGAAACTAGGAAGGGGATCATATGATACAAAGAGAAGTCTTGTCCTTTCCATGGGCTCAGGCCAGAGACTGTGGGAAGAAAATAATATATGAATGTGTTCAGATCACAAACACTGAACCAGCTCTAACCTGTCCCAGGGTCTCAGAAGGGGCCTCGAGTTCTTTAGAACAGCCCACAGGTGCCCATCAGTTCAAAGGCCATTTTCAGATCTAAGAACCTCAGCATTAGCTGCTGTGTGCTCCCAAGGAGAAAGGGAAACACTAACCACCACGCAGAGGTTCCGCACAGGAACAGGCTGCACAAGCACTGGAGTCAGGGAGACAGAAAGAGGAGCCCTGGATTCAGCCTCACACGTGTCCAGGCAGCCACCTCACAGCCTGCAGAGGATGCACAGGGGTCTCCTGGGATGCTCTCAATGTCCCTTGACTCTATGACACTCCCACAGAAATCTGATACCAATATTTTACTTTTTTACCTAAAGCAACAGAAAACACACATAAAAAGTAGTATAGAAACACACATAGGAAGTTCTATTTTTAAAGAGAAACCTGTTTGGCATAGTCAATACAATGAAGACAGGGCCTGTCTCAGAAGTTAATTTTCCATCATGATTTATCAATCTTTCCAGGGACCTAAGGGAATATGACACAAGGTATAGATTTTACTGGGAGAAACTTGAAAAGCAATGGCTGATACACAGGGGTGTCTCATATAGATCTGAGAACACAAACATCCAGGCTTCTATTTGGGGACATAGTGTAGAGTTCATGTGAGGACTGTGCGTGGTCACAGGAGATATCAATAGTTTCAAGGGATTTAGCCCCAACAGTGAGGAAGTTAGCTCCTTCCTTTCCCCACTTGGAGCAGCCCAGCACCTGAGGTGTGCACTTACGTGTGGGGTCTCTGGTCAAAGCCACGGGAGGGCTCAGCACTGTCAGCAACAGGATCACAACTGCCATGCAGGGAACTCTGGGAAGCCACATCATGCTGGAGGAGAGGAGACACAGGAATCGGAGGGGGAGACAAGCTTCAGACTTTAACTTTATTCTCTTTACTCATTGCTAAGATAGTAAGAACCAGGGGATTCACTGCTTTGCCGCTGGATTGGGTAAGACCCGTGCCAGGGAGCCAATCAGAAGCAAAGGCAACCAGCATCATCAGTTGCTAGTTAGAGATTCAGTGTGAGGGTCCCCTTCTGAAAGTTGCAGGAAGGAGACTCAGCCTGGGCTGCTGGCCCCTGCCTCATATCCCAGCGCTCAGGGGGCAGAGGCAGCTGGGTTTCTGTGAGTTACAGGTCAGCCTGGTCTACATAGTAAGACCCTGTCTTTAATCAACAAACAAACAAACAAACAACAACAACAACCCCTCCAAACAAATAAAGGAGAATAGGGTTTTGTTTTGGGGTTATTTGTGTTGTTGTTTTTTAAAGAAAGTAATTTGGGAGGGAGACATGTGGGAAGGTTCCAGAAGAAGCTGGGAGGCGGTCGTGGGTGGTGGATAGAATCAAAATACATTGTATGCACATACAACAACCTCAGGGTATAAATTACATATCGTTTTTTAAAGGATAATTTTTTCCCTTTTTTAAATGATGGATCCAGTTGCAGCTGAAACACTTTAATCAGGCCGTGAAGCTGGGCCCGCTCTGGGATGGTCAATCATTCATTCAGCAGTTTGAGCACCGAGGGAATAGTCACCTTTTCTACATAAAGCTGTGAGGACAACTGTGTGTTTGAAGCTGTGTGAGAGCAAAGGAGGTGAAGGAAGACGACTGTGTAGCCCGGCACCTTTAGCCTGGCGCTCACTGCACCTCAGCTCAACGGTGTAGATGTCAAAGTTATTGAAGTGTCCCTTGGACGCAGTCTTCCCAGCCATCACAGGCAGAGGTACAATCCCCATGTTTCATATTAGCGATTTTTAATTTATTCTAGTCTCACTGATGTGTTTCAGAGAGGACATAGATTGGGACATTTTAGAGTGTACATTTTACCGACATTCCCAAACTCTTGAAATTTTTTGTTCTGTTTGTCTGAAAACATTTTTTTTTTTTTGGATAAGTGGAGAAATTTCTTGTTGAAGAAAATTATTTCTTCAAATGTTATATAGAAACTCTAATACTAAATAGTGGACGGCATAGGAATTTCCCCTCGCAACAGAGGTGTAGTGGGAGGTGATAGCGAGACCAGCACGGCCCTGCTAACTCCGGACTGCCACCAGGCCAGGCAAGGCTAGCTCCCGGGCAGCCGCCATGTTCTCAATGTATCCAAAGCATTGGCTAGCCAGGAGTGCCGGCCTCGGGCCCAGGAGACATTAGCCATGGCTGCTGCCTCCGCTGATCAGCTTCGTGGAGTCCAACCCCCAAACCCATGGAATAACCGCCATCCTCCCATACCCGGGAGACATGAGACTCTTAATGCTTAAAGATTATCCGATGGATTTATATATTAGTAATGATCGATACACAAGATGCCCACACAATAGGAAGTGTTACCCAATATCTAACCTTTTGATACGTTTTATTACTTGAGACTGCTAGAGATCGTTTGTGCTGTTATTGTTATTGCTGTTATTTTTATTGTTATACTGAAGTGTTGCATTGTTATATTGTATTGCTGTTATTAAAGACTGCTAGAAATAATATTTTTCTGTTATTGTTATTGCTATTTTTGTTATTCTTGTAATGTATTGTTATATTGTTATTGTTATATTGTAGTATTATTGTAACTGAAGACTGCACAAGATCCTATTTTGCTGTTATTGTTATTGCTGTTATTGTAGTCTTGGTTTATTCATCCATTATTGTTTATGAAATCCTTGCTTCCATTCTACACAGGGGGAGTAAGGAACTGGGCTGGGGGTGTGGGTGGAACTAGCTGGGTGGTTGGATACCTCATACCTCAACACTGGCTCCAAAATGTCAGATCTGGGAATAGGGTAACACGACTGACTCCTCAGGGCACAGCTTTAGAGTCATGAGGTAGCATTGCACCACAGGCCAGCATGGGAAGAGCAGAACAAGCTTAGGGAATGAAAGCTAATTTATGCCATGTTCCCCACAGTGGCCCCAGAGGTGACTGTACTCTCCAGAAGCCCAGTGAACCTGGGAGAGCCCAGCATCCTCATCTGTTTCGTGGACAAGTTCTCCCCTCCAGTGGTCAATGTCACCTGGCTCCGGAATGGACAGCCTGTCACCAAAGGCGTGTCAGAGACAGTGTTTCTCCCGAGAGAGGACCACTTCTTCCACAAATTCCACCATCTGACCTTCCTGCCCTCCACAGAAGATTACTATGACTGTGAGGTGGATCACTGGGGTTTGGAGGAGCCGCTGCAGAAGCACTGGGGTAGGATGCATTCATTACTTCATTTCCAGGCATCCTGCTTCAATGCTGGATTCTGGACATTCAGCATTCACAGTGTAGGGCTGTGAACACAGCTCAGTGTTAGAGCAATTGTCTCATAGGTGTGTGGCTTCAAGTTCAATTACCAGCATCACAGACTAACAGAGTTCACAGTGTTTCATAACACTGACTACAATTTATATTCGTTCTCTCATAAAGCACATTCATTCACTTTGAAAAACTTATGCATGTGGGTGTTTTGCCTGTGTGTATGTCTGTGCACCATGTAAGTGCCTAGTACCCTCAGAGGTCAAAAAAAGGATGTCAGATGCCCTGCAACTGGAGCCATGTGCAGTTGTAAGCTGCCATATGGATGCTGGAAATGAAACTTAGGTCCTCTGCAAGAACACACAGTGTTTTAAACTAACGAGTCACCTCTCTAGCCCCAGTACACAGTCTGTTTCTTATATTGGCCACTGATATTTCTTACAACAGCAACTGACATCTCCTCTGCCTTATTTTCCCCAGAGTTTGAAGAGAAACCCCTCCTTCCAGAAACTAAAGAGAGTGTTGTGTGTGCTCTCGGGTTGTCTGTGGGTCTGATAGGCATCGTTGTGGGGATTATCCTCAGCATGAAGGGTATTAAAAAATGCAATGCTGCAGAACGCCACCAAGGAGGCCTGTGAGATGCCTGGAGGTGAGTTAGATGTGCTCAGAGACTGACAGATGTGTGGTGTCTGAGAGAGGAAAGCAGGGATGTGGTGCCTTTAAGAGAAGGGTGGGGGTTGTAGTGTCTCTCAATTCCTTGTATTGGAAAAGTGAGCTTTGGCATCAGATGCTACCCAAACCTACAGGATTGATGGGTCCTTTCTTCGGTGTTCCTGGAGGACTTGAGAATCTTGGAAAGTTTGTTTAGTTCCCAAGAGTGTTGACTCACAGGAGAACACAGCATCCTTGTGGCATGAGGGAATTACTCTCAAGGTTCAGGGATGTGGCACTTCCATGTATTGAGGCAGCAGCCATAGCTCCAGAGTCTGAAGCTTTTGGAAAGAGGCTCTTGGATCTGTAGCACGAATGGAAATCTCCTGAGTCCATGACTAGTGTCAGTCCTTTAGTCTGAAAGGGATCTAGGAAGGGGCAAGGGATGTTGATCTTCAGGCAAAATAAGTTTTGGGGTTCATGGTGGGAACTCAGGTCAACACTTAAGGAATTTTTAAGAGTCACATGGCCAAGAGAGACCAGGAAGGAAGCTGAGGGGCTCTCAATCCTTACTGGGAAGTCCCTGGTAATGCTGTGTGTCCCACAACAGGTGATGCCTTCAGTAAAAGCTCAGTGAAGAAACTTGTTGTGACAGCGTCTGAGGCTACCTTTTTTCTCAGTTGTTCACTTCAGCAGAGACCATATCTTCTGCAGTTTCCAGCCTTAAGCTGCAAGAATGGCGGCATGTTCTCTGGTCTAATGTCTGGCTGGGGTTCTCCATCTCCTTCCTGTATCTATATTCCATCCTCCATCATTTATGGTAATTCCTCTGTGACATACATCACAAAGTTCTTCCTCTGCTGTGGAACTTTCTTAGAATGGAGGCATCTTCTGTTCACTTATGGCTTGACATTTCTCCAAACTGTGTTCCTTTTTTTTCTACAAATAATAAACATCTTGGGTTGTGAAGTGTGTTTGTGGTGTGTGTGTGTGTGTGTGTGTGTGTGTGTGTGTGTGTGTCTGAGCAAGTTCTTGATAGAGAGTAGGAAACCTGAGGAGTATGTGTACTTCCACCCATGACTGAATATTGAGTACCTTTTACATGTTCTGAATTAATCTCAAACCCAGACTCACTAGGATTTTAAGCATCTGTAGATATTACTGCATAAGACATGTCCATCTGGTCAACCCCAGAGTGAAGCTAGAGTTGCTGTATGGCAGACTGTGGACTGATGTGTGGGGGAGTTGGAGGTGGGATATGAGAGTGAATGTGACCTTTTCCCCCTCCCATTTTATACACTCGTAAAATTCTCAAAGAATGTTAATGAGATTCTGGATGCAAGGAACAACAACATTAACTAGACTCATTATGTATCTATCTGTTTATGTGAGTGTGTGTCTGTGTGTATGAAGATACCATAAATTCTAAAAGTTTGTGAAGGTGGATAGGGCATCATGGGAGAAGCTGGATGGGAGAGGAAGGGGTGGAAATCATGTAAATAGACAAATTCAATATACTTATCTGTGAACTCCTCAAACAAAAATTTTTTTAAAGGAGAGAATGAGAATCAGTATTTGGCTTGTGAGATGGCTTTTAAGTATATCCTTAGCAGAATAATTCTCAAAAGTGAGGGCCTGGCCTTGGGTAACTAGTGAGAATGACAGAGCAGGGGCTGTTGTGGGTAGAGCTGGCAGCACACTGAGAGATCCACATGTTACAGAACACTAGTACTGACCAGAGACCTCACTACAACATCCTTTGCATTAGGAAATGGCCAGGAGACTTTGAGAGTCAGGCCTGGGTTCTATGGCAGAGTCTCATCCCTCAGATCCTCTATACTGGCTGATGGTGAAATTTGGGGAAGTGGTGAGCTTAGCCTCAGAAGTAGGTCACTGGAGTCAGGATGGTGAAGGTTTTCCTCAGTTCCTCATTGCAGCTGCAGGGGCTCTGCTTCCTGATTTGTCCACTCAGCTTCCTTTCTGTCACTGTGACAAACACTCTGAGAAAAGCAACTGTCAAAGATGCAGTTGATTTGTTGACAATTCCTATCACATCTGCAGTAACATTGAGGCAGAAACACAAGAGCCTTCCATGCACATTCAAGAGCAGAGAGAGTGGATGCTTGTAGTATAGACATGCAGAGTCAAGAGCTGAGAGAATAGATGATAGGAATACAGACATGCAGAGTCAGGAGCAGAGAGAACAGATGCTGCTGTGTGGGTGATGAGCTATCGAGATAGAGACTACATCCAGTGACATTATCAATTTATGCAGAAAGGCCAAGGTGTTCAACATTTGAAAATCAGTTCATACAGTTCGCACTAATTGAGAGATGGATATAAACAACATTTGTTCACCCAGATGGACTCATGGAATGAACGCTGATGGACTTCAGTACTGGGTCTTAAAGTTGTTGTTATTTATTTCTTTTTGCAAGAACTCATTTCTCAGGAAATCTGCAATGAAAAGCAATTTATTTGATCTGGGAAAAGATGTCTGACCTGATTCTTAAATCAGGAATGGAGAAAGAGTATCCAGAGTTTTCCCACTTGGTATGTAGAACATTATGAAATTGGGCAATGAAAAAATGGCAAAATAAATACATAAAAATTTATTAGGGTTTTAAAGAATACAAAATTGTCACAGTTTCCTCTAGATATAGCCGGATACTGAGGAAGAAAAACCCTCAGACTTCTTTGTAATAAGAAATTTAATAATGTAGAGTACAAAGTCACTTTAAAACAAATTCCGGCAGAAACAAATGAAACCAAAGTCAAGAAGATGATACTTTCAACAATAATATTAAAGAATGCCAACTGTCTACTGCATGCTGCTGCTCCTCAAAATTTAATGTCTGTATATACAAGCACAAGATATTTTTCATCAAAAAGAGGTATACATCTTTGTCTATGTATCTATCTATGTATCTATCTATGTATCTATGTATCTATCTATCTATGTATCTATATATCTATGTATCTATCTACCTATGTATCTATCTATGTATCTATCTATGTATCTATGTATCTATGTATCTATGTATGTATGTATGTATGTATGTATGTATCTATCTATCTATCTATCTATCTATCTATCTATCTATCTATGTACCTATCTATGCTAAAAAAAATGCCAAATACTCAGACAGCACTAGCAACACATGAAGAATACTTTTGTTTAGAAAACTCTAAAATATTATATGAAAAAATAAGTTGAGATAAGCACATGGATGAGTGGACTAGGAGACAGTAAGGCTGAGTGTATTTGTGACATCCACACTAAATCATTCTGTAAATACAAAACACCTCAGAAAAGCAGAGTGAGCATCTTCATTTATTTATTTATTTTTACTTTCTGGTTAGTATCCATTCATTGCCTCTGTTACTCATCCAGGGAATCATTACGCAGTGTTTAAACTCCACATGTAAACCATGAGGTTTAATTAGATAAGGAAAGTATTGGATCTAAGGTGAAGCTGCCGACTTGGTGTGAAACACATCTAACATCACTCTACGCTCACCAAATTCCTATTAGAAAATCGAGTTTACATAAATGCATAATGAACCTTAACAAATGCATAACAGAGACTTGAATTTTCCCTGACATGAAATGAATGCTATATGATTGTGTGTCAATCACCCTGCATCATCAGTCACTGTGCTGAAATAGACTTCTGGGTAACTGCTAGCTTCTTACTTTTGAAACTAACTCGTCAAACCTGACTGGGACCAACTCTCAGGTTCCTGCTCTGTGCAGGTCCACAGAGGAACAGACATCCATCATATGAACTAAGCCTCAGGTCCTCTTTAAACTTATCCAAACAGTTTCTAGCTGTCCTCATGACATCTTTGGTGCTCAGCTGCTCTTACAAGGTTTTAGATAAGAGGCAGTGTGGTAGTTTGAAGGAAAATGGCTCCCCTAGGATCAGAGGGAGTGCACTATGAGGAGATATGACCTTCTGGAGCAGGTGTGGTCTTTCTTGTTGGAGAAAATGTGTCACTGGGAGCTGGTTCTAGGTCTCAGATGCTCATCCCAGGCCCGATGTGTCATTCACTCCTGCTGCCTGCCAATCTGGAAGTGGGGCGCTCAGCTCCTTCTCCATCACCATGAGACACTGATCCTGCTAGAAGAGAAAGTGGGGAATAGCCTTGAATTCATCAGTACAGGAGACAATTTTCTGAACAGAACACCAACGGCTCAGGCTCTAAGATAAACAATTAATAAATGAGACATCATGAAACTTAGAAGCTTCTGTAAAGCAAAGGACACCATCAATAAGATATAACAGCAGCCTACAGAATGGGAAAGATTTCACCAATTCCAAATCTGGAAGAGGGCTGATTTCCAAAATATATAAAGAACCCAGGAATCTACACATCATCAAATCAAATAACACAATAACAATGGGGTACAGATCTACAAAGAGAATTCTCAAAAGAGGAATCTAAACTGCCCTAGAAGCACTTAAAGAAATGTTAACATTTTTAGTCACCAGGAAAATGCAAGTCAAAATGACTCTGAGATTCCATTCTGTACCTGTCAGAACAGCTAAGATCAAACACACAAGTGACATGCTGGCTAGGATGTGGAACAAGGGGAACACTCTTCCATTTTGGTAGCGGTTCAAACCTATGCAGTCACTATGGAAATCAATTTAGCAGGTTCCCATAAAACTGGAAATTGATCTACCTCAAGAACTATCTATACCACTCAGGGCGTATGCCCCAAAGACACCTCACAATAACACAAGGTCACTTGCTCAACCATGTTCATACCCACTTTATTTGTAATAACCCAATGTTGGAGTGAATGTAGATGTTCCTCAACTGACTCCTTACCTCTCAGATTCCTTAAGTAGACGAACAGCCCCACTGCGAGGAAGAGCAGACCTAGCACCATGCCCATGGCTCCAATCAGCATCTTGTTCTGTGCAGATGTGGACTGAGCCCCTAAGAATGGAAGCCAGGTGTGGGTTTTATCTCAAGT